ATGGGGGAATGAGGCAGGTAGCAAGGGGGAACGAGGCAAGTAGCAAGGGGGAATGAGCAGGGTAGCAAGGGGGCATGAGGTGGATAGCAAGGGGGAATGAGGCAGGTAGCAAGGGGGAACGAGGCAGGTAGCAAGGGGGAATGAGGCTGGTAGCAAGGGGGAATGAGGCATAGGCAGGTAGCAGGGAGCAGGAGGGGATGAGGCGGGTAGCAGGTCTCAGCATAGGGTGAACTTATTGGGCCTATGTTGTCAAACAAGACCTATAAGGAGGATCTATTTGTCCCACCGTCCAGTCCATCGTGACAAGCCAACAAGCAAGTCACAGAACGCGTGGGTGAGGCTTCGAAACAGTCCCCATCACTCACATGACCAAACAGCAAGTGTTTGTCACCTCCTGTCAAGCATGAAATAAGAACATACAACATATCAAGCAATTGATTTATGCACTATAGCTGCCCTACAGGACAAGAGTGCAGACACGCCCCATGATGGGAGTTTGTGTTGGAAACAATCGGTCCTAAGCGCCTGTGTCGTGTCGAAACACAAGACACAAACGAAGCAAAACACTACGGTATCGAAGCACCAGCGACGTCAACCCTCGGAGGTTGAAGTAACTGTCGGAGGTTACGCGAAGGTCAAAGGTCAGCGACCTTTGACCTGACAAGTACAGCGCGACAGCAAGGACACACAACTGACTCGCTGCAGAGCAGTTGCCCGAGTCGTCACTGTATCGAACCGCAACAGCAACAGTAAAGTAGTTGCAACCGTATCTCTTCGTATTCCTTGTACTCTTATATAATCTTGTATCTCTTTGCTTTAATCAACTTACTTTGCCCTCACATACTAGCGCAAGGTGGTTCACAACACTTTAATTAACGCTTCCGCTACTACACCAAGTCTACCCAGAGTTCACCCTTGCAAAGATCCTAAGGGCTTTTCAGCCCAACTGTTTGTGTATGGCACTGGTAATGTTGCACCACAAATGACATACCAGTAGCTACCTTGTTGCGACACCAATATATTATTTACCTAGACCATATTTAAACAACAATCAAGGTAACAGGGTCACTGCTCTCCTTAAACAATTTGACAGTTGGTCCGTGAAGGATGTGTCTGGTTATGCACTGTCGGTGCTCATACTTGTGAGTAAACGTACGGTATTGGACAGCTCAACATTCCTTTGGTAGTAATGATTTATATGTTCTTTCAACACTGTATTGCAGCCTTGCAAATAAATGTGTCATTTTGTGCCCCCCGTGCACCATACCACTTACCTCAGTTCATTGCCACGAACGTTGTTCTCTCCGACTTGCGACCCAATCGCCACCACTCACAACTAACTCCCGAGCATGCGTTCTTATCGCAGGTGTTCCATAACGGCTTCGTATCAGACTGTCGCATCGCTGTACAAACTGCGCCAATGGTTCGTCCCCGTTTCTCCGAAGTGGCGATTTTACTATTGACGTGACGCCTGCGCCAAGCTTCGTGCGGCACGCGTGAAAGACTATGAAAATTAGCCACATAAAGTCTGTGCGGGCAGAATAGATATCTTTCGTGAGCCCTAATACACTAGCGCACGTTTAAGCACTAGCAACATTTTGTATCGCTCCCTGCCGCTAATGGACAGATAAACGCCCACTCCCACTGAATCATGCCCCATTGGAGCCGCAATTTTTTTATGGATGCACGTTAACCACCGTGTGATTGGTTGTTGGGGGAAACGAGGGACCTGGATGTCGCAAGGTGGAACAGAGCAGGAAACACTCAAACCCTCGTCACCTCCGTGCTCCTCTTGCGTGCCTGCTTGTGGGTCGGTCATCTGCTCCAGGCCCCTGTCTGATCCTCGTCCCTTCTATGCTCAACAATTTTTTAGTGCGCGAAGCGTAGCTGTCAGGTTGCAACGTCATAACTAACCCACACCTCAGACTACTGCGTGAATGGAAACCTAGACATTGCAATGGATAGTCAGACGATTAAGGGGCCCGATGGGGCGATCGTTTTGGCAGACTCGTCGAAATTGCTGGAGGAAAAAATTTATATGGAGTTAGTTACAGTAGATAAAACGGCCGAGATCGTTAACGAGTACCGCAAGTACAATGCGTCGTCGGCGCGTGATAACGTTGAGTCAGGACGTGACTCTTCATCTGGTGACGAATCAAATAGCGACGGCGATGTTGGGCCATACGCTAACAAGGGCGTGTCCTCCCCTCCAAAACCAAGGGAGAGGCGCGTGAGGCGCTTAGATGACATCGGTCCCAAAGCCGGCCAGAAAGGTACGTGTCTTTGGTACCATCTGCTGAAAGGTAGACTTGCATGATTAATTACCTCCGACCGATCCAGTAAGTGCGGTTTGCCGTCGTGTTTGACTTGTTCCCGTTACTGAAGCTCCGATTGTGCTCCCCCGTAACATTGTCAGAGGACAAGCGTGACAACCGAAAGGAGTAAGCGCCGTCAATAAAAGAGAGGCACTACTTCACATGCTGCGTCTGAAGGCGACGAGGAGGTCGAGGACGGCGGACCCGTCAAAGAAGGTGCGTGTTTGTGTAATATCGCCGGTTTCTAAGTAGCACGTTACTCCCTGCATCGACTGATCATACTGATGCCACTTCGTGCAATTAAGGTTAGCGCGCACTGGACTGCTAATGTTCTTGTGATGTCCGCCCTCGCAGCTCCGTCAGCAGGCAGGCGTGCAAGACAACGCGGTAGATGTTATGACCGTAGCGGGAGGGCTGCGGAGTATCCTGGCAGTCCATCTGGCCGCCTAGGAATGTCTGCGCGTGGCGACGAGCAGGAACATGGTGAGCTTGAAGGGCGTGGTGGTGGAAAGCGCAACAACGCGAAGGCGGCGGCGGCGGCCAAGGGCAGTCCCTCGGGGAGGCTCTCGAAGGACGTGGCTGGTGGCGACAAGCAGGAACATGGCGAGATTGAAGGGCGTAGTGGTGGAAAGCGAAACAACGCGAAGGCGGCGGCGGCAAAGGGCAGTCCCTCGGGGAGGCTCTCGCAGGAGGTGGCTGGTGGCGACGAGCAGGAACATGGCGAGCTTGAAGGGCGTGGTGGTGGAAAGCGCAACAACGAGAAGGCGGCGGCGGCGGCCAAGGGCAGTCCCTCAGGGAGGCTCTCGCTGGATGTGGCTGGTGGCGACGAGCAGGCGCTGCCCAGGCCCGTTATAGAAGGTTGGCGGTTCCTGGCTACTTTTGTCGTTGATTTTGAGGTTGCATAGCCTTCGCTGCCACCCTCCTTGTATATTGTTACCTGTTGCAACCAGCAACTATGTCGTGAGTGACGTGACACCGAGATTGTCTCTCTCATATCCCTCTCGCTGCAGGGCTAGCAGAGCAGCGAGGTGGTGGCGGTATCGATCAGGATGAGGACAAGCCTGCAGCAGTGACTGCTGGGAAAGAACATGGACGTGAAGCTGTGATTCCGTACAAACGACGCAATGCTGTGGACTCGGCCGGTCGCGACCGAAATGCGAGACAAGCTCGACAAGGGACGAAACAGTATGTTTCGAGCTCGTCGGGTTCGGAGGAGGGATCCAGCGATAGTGAGTCAGGCAGCTCATCCGGGAGTGAGGAAGTATACGAGGACGAGGAGGAGGAGGAAGAGGAAGAGGAGGATGAGGAGTTGGAGCCGGAGAGCGAGGATGAGGAGGAGGCTCGGCCTTTGAAGAGGAGGGGTGTGCGGAAGACCAAGAAGGGCAATGGAAAGCAAAAATCGGAGACAGGACGGGTGAAGAGCTATAAGCAGAGTGTGCGTCGTGCCAAACCACATGGCAAGCGCCAGAGACCTCGATTCGAAGCTAAAATTGTGGGTGTGCGTAGCAAGGAGAAGCGGGAGTTGGATTTTTACGAGTCCATGGGGCTACGATGTCCATCAAGCCCTCATGATCGGAAAGCCACCGACACGTATGCTGCGTTACGCGAGCAGATGGATTCGTCTGGGAAGGGAGATCCGATCGCTTGGGGGTCAGCGCGGTTTGGCAGGGAAGCGACGGACCCGCATGCAAAGCTTTCGGGGGGTCACGCGGTTCAGGTGAAAATCGAGGGAGCAACGAAGCGGCACGAACCCTCGGCCGCCGCAGCAGCCAATGACGGTGTGGGAGGAGGTGTGTGGGCGAATTCCTTGGGTGAATGTGGCGGCGGTGTGGAAGGCTCCATGTGGGATGTACGGGATAGCAAGGGAGAAGGAGGAGACTTGAAAATGGATCCAGCGACTAAGGAGGGGAGGGGCGAGAGCATGGGCACACCTGGCGCATCCAGTCGGCCCAACGTGGCTGGCGGCAAGACGGTGGAGCAGCTCATGCGGGAGCTTGCCCAGCGGGATCGCGAAATTGCGGCACTCAAGGCAAGGCCAGGAGCCAAAGGACCTGTCAAACCCTGCACCCCTCCGTCTAGGCCTCCTCCTATTGCGTCTCTGTCGAGCGGCCCATCTGCAGTGGGCCTCGATCCAGGCGTGGCGCCAGAAAGCCCATCGACGGTAGACGTACCGGTCTATCGAACGCGTGGGATGCCCAAGCCCAAGCTGCTGAAGGTGGGTATGTTTAAGTGTTAAGCAATGTGTGGCATGGGGCTCAGTGATAGCTGCAGCTCTCTCTCTCAACACCTCGTTCCCCCCACCTCTTTATGCTGGTCAGAGTGTTTGTACCATTATGCGCAGTGATAGCGGCCTGGCTGCGGTGTGATAGGCACTCCCAGTACGCCCCGCTTCACGGACGCTGGTGCTGGGCGTACGATACTCTCACACTCTGCCCCACCTCTGCGAGCTCACCATAACTGTTCTATTTCCTCCCCCCCCCCCTCTCTCCCGTCACTCCACCTCCTCTTCCAGAGCCCCTGTTCATGGCGCTGCTTGTCTGGTATGGGTGGCATGCGGCGCAGAGATAGCAGCAGCCCTCTCTGTCATCCCTACGCGCCCAATCCCTTCTTTCCGCTTGCTCCACCCCCCCCCCCCCCCCCCCCCCCCCCCCCCTCTCTATCCCACCCCTCCCCCTCCTCTTCCAGAGCCCCTCTAAACGGTGCTGCTGGTCTGGTGTGGGTGGCATGCGGCGCAGAGATAGCAGCAGCCCTCTCTGTCATCCCCACGTGCCCAATCCCTTCTTTCCGCTTGCTCCTCCCCCCCCTCTCTATCCCACCCCTCTCCCTCCTCTTCCAGAGCCCCTCTAAACGGTGCTGCTGGTCTGGTGTGGGTGGCATGCGGCGCAGAGATAGCAGCAGCCCTCTCTGTCATCCCCACGCGCCCAATCCCTTCTTTCCGCTTGCTCCTCCCCCCCCCTCTCTATCCCACCCCTCTCCCTCCTCTTCCAGAGCCCCTCTAAACGGTGCTGCTGGTCTGGTGTGGGTGGCATGCGGCGCAGAGATAGCAGCAGCCCTCTCTGTCATCCCCACGCGCCCAATCCCTTCTTTCCGCTTGCTCCTCCCCCCCCCTCTCTATCCCACCCCTCTCCCTCCTCTTCCAGAGCCCCTCTAAACGGTGCTGCTGGTCTGGTGTGGATGGCATGCGGCGCAGAGATAGCAGCAGCCCTCTCTGTCATCCCCACATGCCCAATCCCTTCTTTCCGCTTGCTCCTCCCCCCCCTCTCTATCCCACCCCTCTCCCTCCTCTTCCAGAGCCCCTCTAAACGGTGCTGCTGGTCTGGTGTGGGTGGCATGCGGCGCAGAGATTGCAGCAGCACTCTCTGTCATCCCCACGTGCCCAATCCCTTCTTTCCGCTTGCTCCTCCCCCCCCTCTCTATCCCACCCCTCTCCCTCCTCTTCCAGAGCCCCTCTAAACGGTGCTGCTGGTCTGGTGTGGGTGGCATGCGGCGCAGAGATAGCAGCAGCCCTCTCTGTCATCCCCACGTGCCCAATCCCTTCTTTCCGCTTGCTCCTCCCCCCCCCTTCTCTATCCCACCCTTCTCCCTCCTCTTCCAGAGCCCCTCTAAACGGTGCTTCTGGTCGCGTGTGTGGCATGCGGCGCAGCGTGTAGCGGGCCGGGCTGCAGGGGGGGTTGTGACTCTTAGTACGAGGAGAACATGACCCCTTACGCAGTCCGTACGGTGCTCTCACACTCTGCTCCCTCTCCCATATGATTTCACTCAGACTAGTTCATCCCCTCTCTCCCCCCTCTATCTCCCTGCTCTCCCCTACCTCAACCAGAGCCCCTGTTCATGGTGCTGGTGGTGGTGTGGGTGGCCTGCGGCACGTGTTACCAAAATCCCACTCTCTCGACCTCTGGTTTCCGCCCTTCTTTGGGAGTCACCCACATATCCTTTTTTCCTATCCATCCGGCTGTCGTAGGTTCATTTCGCAGAGGGGCGGGACCGGATGTGCCTCGAGGCGCCAGACCATGCCATAGACTTCTACCCAACGCTCGAACAGCGCGTGCAGATGTTGTATGAGGTTATCAGCGAGACGCACATCATCAACATGATGCAGCTGCGAGAGGCTATGGAAGACAAAAACATCATAGGCGCTTTTAAACGCGCCTGGACGTCATGGAAGAACGAACGTGGCTTCCACCTCAAGCGCAGAGTGCTCGTCACTTTCAGCAAGAAGGTGGAAGGCCTGCGTGCAGCCGAACTGTGGATGGGCACCAAGAAGAAGCGGAAGATGTGGAAAAAATACCAACCGAGTGAGTACTTGCGTGACTGTTTTCCATCCCCTATTGACATGTCTTCTCATGCACCCCTCGTGCATGCCCCACGTTGATGAAGCACATACCCCCAATGCATCCCCACTTTGGCACGCGACTACATACCTGCTCTCCTCGCCCAAGCTTGTAGCGCATGTGCAAACACATCCGCATGACAGCCATCCGTTGGTTCTTCTCCCACACTCCCCTTCTCCCGCCCCCCGTTTTACTCCCGCCCTCCTCTTCTCTCCCGCCACCCCCTTCTCTCCCGCCCTCCCTTCCTCTACCGCCCTCCCCTTCTCTCCCGCCCTCCCCTTCTCTCCCGCCCTCCCCCTATCTCCCGCCCACCCCTGCTCTCCCGCCCTCTCGCCATTCATTCCCCCCCGCCCTCGATGTTCATCCATACCCTTTGGACAACCCTAAACCATGTCATGCATGATCACGGATGTCTCATGCTTCCCCGCATTGTCATACATGCGCGCAGGAGGGAAACAACGGGTCAGCTCGTGGGGAAACAACAGAGACGGGCTCCCGTTTGCCGACGGCCGGTTTGTAGATGCGGTCCGGGAAGCATTTCGGAATTTCTGTGTCGGGCGCCGGGTGTGCGTCAAAGCATACCACATTGCCTGGTCAATCATGGTGGTACGCAATTATTGCTCAACCCATGGTATGCTCTAGCTTGGCATGCTGTTTTATAGTCCCTCGGCATGGTATGTGGGGCATTTAGCGCAGCCTCTAAACTCTGCACGCGAGTGTCCACTGAAGTTGCTGTTTTTCCTCCATCCCATACTGTGCTATGCCTTTTCAGATTGACCAGGGCTTATCAAAGGTTAAGAGGACTGACTGGAACGTCTCCAACTCCCACCGGAAGAACAGTGAATGGATGGGGGGTTTGCACCGTAATGTGCGGTGGATTATCAAGGACCACTTCACACGCCACACCCCTGTGTACAACACAGACATGAAGGACTTCAAGTGGGGCGACCGTGGGCTGTATGTTCACGAGTCAGGATTTGAGGCCTTCCGGGGGAAGGCTGAGCTTGATGCCAAAACGAAGGACCTGAAGGAGGAAGAAAAGGAGGTGTACAACTCGGAGGACATGGAGGAGGATAAGGAGGAGGAGGATGAGGAGGAGGAGGAGGAGGAGGAGGATGACGAGGAGGAGGACGAGGAGGAGGAGGAGGAGGAGGAGGAGGACGAGGAACAGTGGGGGCAGGAGCGGAGGAAGAGGAAAAGGCACAAGAGACCTAGGGCAGGCGGGAGGGATGAGGAAGAGGATGAGAAACGGGGGGGGCAAGAGCTTAGGAAGGGCAGAAGGCACAAGGGAGGGAAAACCAGGGAAGGCAGGAGGGAAGCGGACGAGGAAGAGGAGAAGGAAGAGGAGCTGGGGGATAAGAAACAGGGGGGCAGGAGCGGAGGAAGGGCAGGAAGCACAAGAGAGGCAGAGGGCAGGGAAGCAGGAGGGAAGAGGAAGTGGAGGAAGATGAGGAAGAGGAGGAGCAGGAGGATGAGAAACAGGGGGGGCAGTCGCGGAGGAAGGGTAGAAAGCACAAGAGAGGCAGAGGCAAGGGAAGTTGGAGGGAAGTGGAAGAGGAGGAAGAGGAGGAAGAGGAGAAAGAGGAGGAAGAGGATGAGGATGAGGATGAGAAGCAGGGGGGCCAGGAGCGGAGGAAGGGCAAAAGGCACGAAAATGGCAAAAGAAGGGGAGGCAAGAGGGCCAAATGATGGTGTGACGAGACAAGGGGGGCTGCAGATGAGGCATGCGTGGAGTTTACAAAAGGGGACAGCAGGAGAGGCATCACATACGTGCGAGGAGAGGCATTGGTGGAGACAGCAAGGGGGGCATCAGGGAAGGCACGTGTGGATAGAGAAAGGGGGACAGCATTACGGAGGGGAGTGGTGCAAGGGCCGCAGCAGTATAGGCATGACCGGATAGGACAAAGCAAGCAGCAGTAAAGGCTTGACTGGAGGATGTCTAAGACGGAGCAGCAGACGCATGACAGGGCTGGACATGCGAGGAAGCAGTGGACGCATGGGCAGGGCAATAGTACCACATTTCGAGTATATTTCCATATTCTTGTCCGCATTCCGAGAGTTCCAGTGCCCAAGCCAGATGCCAGAGACTTAGTCAAAATTCGAGAGCAAGAAGAGCCCTAGCAGTGTTGGAATGTCCTACATGCGAAAACATTAGGGCTGACGACACTCTCTTATACTGAATTATAGGGTACGATTTTACTCATGTCAAGGTCCTGAGAGTAACATGAACGTCAAACTCAATTTCACGGAGCGGGAAGTGACAAAACCACACTGAACAACAGGTCGAGCAAGGGAAAAACTCTATGAATTCCAGGGGCCTGGCTCCGATTCTTCCAGGGATTAATTCTGACAGCCCTACACGTATGCACCAATCACGCTGCTTCGTGCAACAAACGTGTTAGGCTGTCAGATGGGAACCCTAAACAGCTGGAGGATTTCATTCTGTCTTCACCGTTAGATTTCATCTAACGGGCATCCACTACTGCGCCCAGAAGATGGGAGAGTGCATGTGTGGAGTGGACGGACCTCTGCGCGCCGTAACATTATTAGGGATGGCGCGTGCCCAAATCGGGGAAAAAGGACACATTCACAACAGCCACCAAGTTACCGGTGAGAGTCTGACGCGTGGAATCGCTAGCCCCGAGAAGGTGTTCCACCTCGTCGTTCCGATGTTTTGATTGGCTCTCCCCCTGTTAAGGGGGATGTATCTGTGATGTCAGCAGATGGGGAACCAGACACCATTGCCAAAGAGCCCCGACAAGTGGGGCCCTCTGGCGAATGTCGTCCATGCGATTGCGACATCTTCCAGGTTCAGGTAGGTTAGGGTACGAGTAGCAAAAATTAACGAATGTGGCAACAACCTGCATAGCAACTCGTGACCCATAGTAGCGTGGCTCCAAAGCACAGATTCAGAAGTGGTGCTGCTTCCTCATAATTTCCCCAGTGCCACTCGCAACTCGAAGTCAGGAACATTCAGCCATGGCTCTTCCAAGCTTAGATAGTAAACTAGCCTTTCAGCCGATCTCCATGCCCTTTCCCTACGGCGGAGGCTGGCTCGACATAACCGTAGACCACGCCAATAGGCTACGACCCGGTGAATGGGTCAGCGGAATCGTGATTGATTGGCTCGGTGTGTGAGTATCACGAATATAGACTCATTACACAGTGACGACACGGTTCTCTCATGCTATTATTTTGGCGTTAATCTGCGCACTCGCAGGATGCTGCAGTACGAACACGGTCGCAACCGCACAAAGTGGCTTTACGGTGGATCCTATTTCTGGGACTATACGCTCGGAAGGACACACCGAGGCCTGAGAACGCCTACACTTTCGGATTGGGAATATTCGAATTCACACATGTTCTAGTTCCGATCAATACCGAGTAAGTTCTCGCCGCGTCGTGCCGTTGCACCAGAAATAATTCGCAATGATAATGTCGTTTTTAATGATGCTAGTCCTCGTTTGCGCATTAGGAGTCATTGGAGCTTGATCGTCATCGAGAGAATCCCGAGACCCGACGACACGATTCCCATGAACTGCGTGCTATGGCACGCTGACTCGAACGGTACCCATGACGGTGTTGACGCTCCGTTGCGCAGGTATTCGCTCTCAAATGGCAGTATGCTGTTGTCTCGTAACTCAAAACGGGGTAACTAAATAATTGAAGAACCATCATCCGATATGCAGGTATTTACGAAACGAGGTCGTAAAATGCTGTTCGTGGATCATTGATTCGGACGCTGATGCATGGGCTGCGAGCATCCCGCTACGGCACGTCAAGGTGAGCGAAATTGGCTTGTTTGTACGAGCTCCGAGCCCATGCATCTCTTTTTCCTCGCAACGCGATTTCCTCCACCAACCCCCAATTTCGGACGGGCCTTACACTGCCATAATTGACCCTGTGTGTCTTCAGATTCCAATGCAGGACAATGAGAACGACTGTGGTGTGTTCGCGATGCGTGTGATGCACACATTGGTCGAGGATGGTTTCCGTAACCTCCCTGCGTGTGAGCTTGTCGGTACGCCACTCAAATGGCGCCGTCAGTACCGTCGCGATTTGAGGAAGTGGTCTGTGTTTTTTCGGGGAAAGACGATGGTGGAGGTTAGAGGTGGGGCATGAGGCGGGTCTAAGCTAGTAATGGGGCGGGGAGCTTGGTGGAACGCGACTGGAATGAGAATGACAGGGTGAGCGAAGGGGGATGAGGCTGATAGCAAAGGGGGAGTGAGGCGGGTATGAAGTGGGGATTGAGACGGGTAGCAAGGGAGATTGAGGCGGGTAGCAAGGGGGAATGGGGCGGGTAGCAAGGGGGAATGAGG